TACACACTAAAACGTCACTGCTTGATCATAAATTCAATTACGAAATATACAAATATGGCAAAATGCTTTACACCAACAACAAAAACCATTTCTGGAGCATGCACGTTTGCTTTTGATCATTCATGTCACATACTCTAATTGTAAGCGCATTTTTCATCGATTATCACGGGACTAGTCTAAGATGAATATTCAAAGTTTTTGGTAGCATATTCAAGTGCACACCTCACTATATGATTATTCGGTAAGTATAGGAAATGAGAAGCTTAAATGAGCGTTTCCTTACGGAATCTGAATAAAGTCACAAAATTTAAGTTGTGAAGGTCGTCGTGCGGGTTCCTAACAAGCACCGATACTAACTGTAAGCAGTTTATCGACCAAAATCATAAATGTAGAGCATTGTAGGTCATTTGAACTCTTCAACACTCGAATGGTGTTTCGAAATTACAAATTGCGTAATTCATTTGAGCATTTTCACAAAATAAACAATAACACTAGCGATTTGCACAATATCTGTACGACGAATGACTGCAATGCGGTACAAAAATTCCTCTTGAGAGCTACGAAACGACTGAATTTATTGATGGTTATGATGAAATTTTCTGTTGTGANGCATCGTCCATAATCACTGTACAAAGCAGAAAGTTGCCGTCATCTATAGGAATGGGTTCCTTGACCAAAAGCGACTCTTTGTAGAGATACGCTAAAGCCGGTGAGCCGGATCGAAGCTTCATATGACGGACAACGCTACCTCGCAACGCCATCACTTTCTGCAATCAGACAACATATCAATTTTTAAGACATGCTCCACATTTCCTCATATGAACAATATGAGTTTCATTGTGTTACTTATAATTTGTTCACTGAGTCAATGTATCGTTTCACCTGAACAGCTCATGCTAACATTAACTTATCGTTTATTCTCAATGAAATAAATGAAATAAGACTTTGCGATTAGACAACTGAAATCAAATCATCCAACTCCACTCGAAAATGCTCTAAAAAGTGATCCCTTTTGACTGAAATGAAAACAGACTAACTCTTTTCATTAAAAGACATTAAAGGACAAAGTTATAAGACATTAAAGGACATGGATCGAAACAACTTATTTGAGGAAGATAAAAATCAAAAGCTGCAAACAAAAAAGTGTATAATACGTTAAACACGACACCTTGTCAATCTCAGCGATCAATTGCTTAATGCCAAAACTATTCACACAGGACACATTGAGAAGATCGCAGTGTTCTTCCACTTTGCTCATATCAATTTTATCACATTTATTACCGATAAAAATAATCGATTCTATGAGTGAACGTTTCACATCCAACGCTTCCAATGTTTCCAAGACAATTTCACGTTGTGCTCTCCTATCAGGATGTGACACATCTTCGACCATCAACAGCAAATCCTAGAATATCCACGAATACGCGACGGATAACATTAGTCATCAGCATAATGCTGTTTCCAGGCTACACACAACCTTCATTGATATACCGTCTCGTAGCTTTTTCCGAAATTTCGCACAAAAAAATGCTTCCAGCATAAGAGTTCAATACAGGTTTGCTTTTTAAATGAAGACCTCAATTATTATCACGCAATTTAGTGTATAATCTCTTAGTCAAATATTCAAAATTTATGTGAATTGTAATACACTTCTGATAAGTTCAATGAAATTATTACAGCGTTAAGC